TTTTCACGATACCTCCCGCCATCTGCGGTTCATGTATGGTATGTTTACACTATAGAGACAAGTGTTGTAACTGCCGAGAAAGGAAAATGAGCATGTTTTAAAACTTAATTTATTTATTTATCTATTTTTATTTTAAGGGCCATAGATCTTAGTCACATATACATTATCTTTAAGAGAAATATCACATTTTTCCAATGAGTGTTAATGAAGGAAATTAGCCAAGTGTTGACCAAGTTATGACCTGAACAATTTGGAAATACAGGTAGAAATTGCTACGTAGACATGTCCCTGTCCGGTTGAAACACGTTCTCGTATCGAATGGGTACCTCTTTAAGGCTACGCCGAGATAAAAAAAATCTATGCGTGGAAGTATACAGTATCCATGACCTTGTGCACACAGAATGTCCTTTAATTTTGGAGCAATTCCATCTTAACATCACGATGCTCTCTTTCTTCAACAACAACAGTCTTATGTTCTTTTGTGTCGCCGATTATTGATGTCCGCCGTACCCAGTTTCGACTCCGAAACCCAAGCCAGGATAACTGTAAGTAATTTAAATTTCAAATTTCGATAGAAAATAGAAAATTGAACTTGATCAGAATGATTAAATCAGTATATCGCGTTGAACTTGATCACAATGATTAAATCGGTATATCGCGTTGAACTTGATCACAATGATTAAATCAGTATATCGCGTTGAACTTGATCAGAATGATTAAATCAGTATATCGCGTTGAACTTGATCAGAATGATTAAATCAGTATATCGCGTTGAACTTGGTCATAATGGTTAAATCAGTATATCGCGTTGAACTTGATCACAATGGTTAAATCAGTATATCGCGTTGGACTTGATCACAATGATTAAATCATTATATCGCGTTGAACTTGATCACAATGATTAAATCAGTATATCGCTTTGAACTTGATCACAATGATTAAATCAGTATATCGCGTTGGACTTGATCACAATGATTAAATCATTATATCGCGTTGAACTTGATCACAATGATTAAATCAGTATATCGCTTTGAACTTGATCACAATGATTAAATCAGTATATCGCGTTGGACTTGATCAGAATGATTAAATCATTATATCGCGTTGAACTTGATCACAATGATTAAATCAGTATATCGCGTTGAACTTGATCAGAATGATTAAATCAGTATATCGCGTTGAACTTGATCAGATGAACCAGTCAGATGGTTTTGGAAATCAGTTTTACACGCGTGAAGATTTGTTTTTATGTTATGACTGTAACTCATCAATCCTCTGATCAATCTTATTGACAACTGGTAAAGTGATGTAGCTTACGCTGTATCAATGGCTGTAATTGGACACAGAACCGTTACTATGGAAACATGATTGGTCGAAATTGAGATGGAGCTGATAATTAATAGATACAGGTTTTAAGGGAAGGCATTTACAATGGCACCATTTTTTAAAAAATGATGTCATTTGGTTGCTATGGTAACCACATCAGACCTATGATTAGACAGACCTTTTCCAAACTTATCCTCCTTAAGGTTTTGGTCCAATTTCAACGAAACTACACCGGGATGTTAGGGACTATATGTAGATATGCAAACGAGCATACGTTTTTTTCGGAGAATTTGGATATCCATAATAAGCAAGCCCCTATACAAATATTTTCACACAAATTTCCGTAACACTTTGCCCTTTCAGTGATTCTTATTAAACTTGATCAAATTCTATAGCTAATTACATCCTATAAATTGACTTATTAGGTGTTCCATACCCGTTACCATGGAAAGTCCTATTAGACTTCTGGTTGGTCGAGATAAAGATATTATCTGATTAAGTCAAAAGTTGATATCAAACGGTTTAGAAGATGACAAAGACAATGGTACCATTTTCAAAAAGAAAAGAAAATGAAAAGAAAAGAAAGCGGTTGCCACTTGGTTGCTGTTGGCCTGTGGGAAGCATTTTTTTCAAGACAACCTTAAACTATTGTTGATTATTGAGCGTGTATAATTCAGCCATCCTGGCGACATTCCTTATTCATTCTGTTGTTTTTGTTTGTGAAATGTCCGCAGAAAATACTTGTTTTTGTTCTAGTCACTTTTGAATTATCAGGCTTAGACAACTGTAGTGAAGCATTGAGTTGCAGTCAGAGTAAAAGATGTTATTACAGTGGAGACTCGAGTACTTGATTGGCGGCTAACTGTAGGAAACTCTTTGGTAGATCACGATGCCGTAATGATTAGGGGGACATCGGAGCTTCCAAGAATGGGGTCTGCTGTATTCCGCAGCATGATCAGTCGTAATGGGCTACTAAGCTAGAATCAGGGGATTTCTACGATTAGATGTCTCCTTTCGAAGAGACCACAATAGATGTTCTGCCCCATTGAAACACTTGGGATATAATTCTTTATTTATCTTTCCGGTCTGCTGTTTCTTTGTGTGTTTTATTTTCCATTTTGGTTTTCCCGGTTCTCAGCGACACCTGTCCTTACATGGCCCTAGTTGTTGAGAGGACATTAAACCTTTTGAGTAAAGTATTGAGTAAAATGTTGCTGCAGTCGGTTGGAGAGTATTTTTTTTCAATATCTGGCTATTATCAGTGTAATAAACCCATCAACCAACTCGTTGATTTTACAGAAAGAATTCTCTGTTCCGTGACTGTACTGTATAGACACACTGTAACGAAGCGTATACACATGTTGCAAGGAAGGGAGATAAATCGTATTACTTATCACATGGAAAAAAATAAACTTTGCAATAATCATTTTACTATATAGTTTCTTAGCCCATTTCGTCTGTAGTAGTTTCATTCATGCACGTTAATCTATGGCGTCCCCGGATGGGCCAATGTAGTGCTGATAGGGACTGGCCCAACCGCATAATTATATAGGTTATCATTAACATGAGCCGATACCTGTGAAGGTGCAGAAACTGGTTCTCTGACTTGCCGTAGTGTCTGGAAAATGTAAGGAGTGTTGTGATTGGCTGAAAGAGTGAGCGGATGAGGGTGTGAGCATGCAAGTCACCTGTTAATACCCTGCACACCTATTTCCCTGGATCATTTCTATTTACGACACTCGGTAGGGAGGGTTCATCCCTCATAGCCACATCCCTGGTAAGTGACTTTTATTCTTTTTTTAAGTTTTGATTTATAACCGTTTCTTACAATTGTACATTTATTCGATTTTGCTGAATATATTTTGTTCATTATGAAGTTCATGTCCTAATAATTGTACATTGTAGGTCTTAATAAATATTATAACCAACCCAGCACATGAATTGAGGTTATTTGTTCAACCCAATGCTACACTTAGTTAATGCTCACATAATATATAGTTATATGTAAATTATTCATGATGGATCTGCTATTAAACAATACAGTCTGAAGCATATCTTTTCGCAGATGACACTAAATTGTTCAGAAGCATAACAGAAAATACCGATGTGAATATGCTTCAAGATGATCTGGATCGCCTTTCAGCTTGGAGTGAAAAATGATAATTGAAATTTCAACCTCAAAAATGTATTTTTTGCGCATTGGCAGGCAAAGTGGAGACAGAAAATATTATTTAAACAACGAAGAATTACAGGAAGTCTACCAAGAAAAAGATATAGGGGTAACTATAGACAATTCTTTATCATTCGATGAACACATAAGTACACAGGTCAAAAAAAGCAAACTCTATGTTTGCACTCATAAGGAGAACGTTTCAATTTCTCAATGAACACAACTTCCCATTATTGTACAAAATAATAGTTAGGGTTCATCTGGAACATTCTATTACTGTATGGCATCCATATAAAGTCAAACATATAGATAAGATCGAGGCAGTGAAACGGAGAGCAACAAAACAATTATCAGGATTTAAGGAACTGACTTATTCGGAAAGACTGAAACGTCTAAAATTACTAACATTGGCTTTCAGGAGGATTCGTGGGGATATGAATGAAGTCTTCAAAATTACGAACTATTTTTGTGATAGTAACGCTGCTGGTTTCCTTAAATTTTGGATCAACAATGTTAAAATTCAGAGGACAAGGGGTCACTCCAAAAAACTTTACATGCAGCACTGTAAACTTGACATCAGGAAACATTATTTTGTGTTGTGTGTGGTCAAAATATGGAATAATCTCCGGAGTATATTGTATCGCCACCAACAGTTAACTCTTTCAAAAATAGATTAAATGAACACTGGGCAAATCAAGAACTGGTATATAATTATGAATCAGAAATTCTGTAGTTCCTGGATCTGACGTCTCAAATGACAATAATTATAAACATTATCATTGTATCACTGAGACCCGTATAGAGGATCGTAACGATCCTGCACTGGTAATAAACTAAACTAAACTAAATTAAATTAAACTGAACTAAACTATTAACTAACTAACTTACTAACTAACTTACTAACTAACTTACTAACTTACTTACTTACTACTATTCTCCAAAGGATATGAAAATTTCTACAATATCACAAATGTAGATACTCTGGGTCCTCACATTGATGAAAACTGTTATAAGCATACGATAGCAAAGAGACGTAGAAATGGTTCCCGCGCACCGGTAGTCCATCTTAAATAGCAACTGTTAAAAAATGATTAAAAAAAATCAAACTTCTATTATCAAAAATATAGGTAATATAAATAACGGAATAATTCAACCATTGCACATTTATATTGTACCAAAAACCGAAAAAAAATACTTCTATTTATACTATCCAAAGTTATAACTTACAATGGGAGAGTGATTTAATTCAGTGCTGAACTATTAAAGCGGAATTTCACACTCTCAATAGTGATATGAACAAATGATAATTACTGACACATTTGCATATCTTTTAGTTCATTTTTGTATGTCTGGTTTGTGGTTATTTTTATCTATTGAAAAATCATGCATTTTATAAAGTTGTTTAATCTAGTATTTCTTTTTTATTTTCACGGGTTTTTAGATTAATTTTCCGGAATACTCCACATCCAAATCTAAATTTAGTATTTACATCAAGCGCACCAGACGCTTTGATCAACGTCAGGAGGAAGTATTCTGACAAAAAGAACGTAATGTTTTTTTCGTCTGAAAATGTGTAGTAAGAATTTCAAAGGTATGTAGTTCTGTTTTGATTACATGTTAGATGATCAATTAAGCTCTTATTGTTTGCACAAGTATTTACAAGTCGAATAAATAACAGCTAGAAAGATGACAGCTTATAAAAGGAATAAGCACAGTTACACTTGAGTGAACTGCAGCCATGTCAACAAGTCCAATCAATGGTGCCGGCGACCCAAAACAACAGAACAAAATGTCTAAATTATATGAAGTGGAACGTAGTTTAATTGAAAACAACCGATGTTTTCAAAGTGGAGAGGCCTTATATTACAGTGTATAGAGGATTAATGAATCATCATACAACTGCAAAAATATAATTCATTTGCGTGTAGGAAACTACTGGAAATAGGTCCAGTGCTTCTGGCCTATAGAGCCTACATGTGTACATAAATCATGTTACGATAGTACAGTTACTATGGTGGCAACCGTTACATCAAGTTTCTCAGTAGCCAGAACTTAATGCGACTTTTAATAGTATATTGCAAAAGTTAATGTTGAAAATCGCATCCCTGCAAAAACATTAATTTTAAAATTAATCTAATTGTTATATTAAACACCAAATCATTAACCATTAATACAAAGGAACCTTGACACTTTTTAGACAAGTATTTCAAATTCAGTTGAATCAAGCACATTTTAAAATTAAAGTATTTAATACTGATGACAGAATAATAGAATACAATGCTTTCATCAATAACTTTGTTCAGAAGTTATTGAAAATCTATAAAAATCCTCTAATTTGACATGTTTGCAGTATTGTATCTTTTCAGAAATCTTGAAATTTAAATTTTTTGTTTTGAAATTGAAATTTAGAACAATTTCCACAAAAGAAATGCTTTTGAATAACTTGTCTAATTGTTTATGTAAATTGAAAATAACATATTTAAGCATTATATAAAATTGGGCCCTCCCTTGACCCTCTCTTATTTTGAGGATTCAAAGCCTTTTTTCAATTCTGATTCACAAATTAATTACATTATGATTTTCAAGAAATTGCAATAGTTTTAATCTTCTTTAGTTTGCTATACAAACTAGTTGAGTAATTTATCATTTTTGTTTTAATGGCAGTATAAATAAGATATTTCTACCGTAGAGTCAATAAAAGTTATTAATGGTGGGCACGATGGACCCCCATGGATCCTCTTTCTTCTTTGTCTTCTGAGCAACTATACTTTGATATATGTATGTCTAGATAAATGTTTATATTGTATTGACGTTAGTGATAATATTGGATGATGCATGTGGACTCATACAAAATAATGACAGTTTGTTTAATTACATTGAAGATGGCTTAATATAAGATTTATAATCTTGTTGCCAGATCCATTTTCAATTTTATAATTTGTGTATGTGTATGTTGTTTAATGAAAATATGAAAATAAAATATTGTTTAAACCAATTACAATGAAATGTTGACAAGAGATCTAAAGATTTCTGTTTTGTTTACTTTTTAATTTCATTTGGCTTCTGATTTTCTTCTTCACAGTAAGAATAGCATCTTAACAAAGCAAGGATGAGACGAGGTAATCATAAATGCTGTATTGGAAATGTGTGTAGTTGGCAGACTTTCTCTGCATATGGTATATCATACTGTTACTGTTGATTTTTGGGACTCAAATATTGAAGTCCGGGCTTCTTGCTTTTTCTGTGAGACTTGAATCAGATTTTGAGAACCACTTTATCTCTTTGTATCTGAACTCATCAAAATTTTTAAAGTTGTGCTTTGGACCCACCAGAAAATATTGTATAATAATTACTGATTTACTAACTAGTATCATATATCTTTTGAGCTTGCCCATTGATATATCCATCTTACAGTTGCTAGCACTACACACATTTATTGGGTGTTGGAGAAAATTCAGTTTCTTACACATAGCTTTTTGAATTTAATCACCTCTAATGATGATGCCAATTTCTGAAGCTGAAAGATTTATTTGTATGTAAATTTTTTCACTGGAATAGCCCTTATGTGTGAAAATTTAATTTGCATGATTTTTAACTACAATGTTTATCAAACAATATCCCCAGACATGTGTATCTACATTGAGACTAAATTTCATATTTATTTAATCCTGTCAACAGTGAAATTAAAAGATTGAGTCCTGATGAAATTTAGATAAAAGTCTGCTGTCATAGAAAATTACAAACAAATCTTACTTCATTGACCTTTTCACTTCTTGTGATGAGCACCACTGATTTTTTGGTGTAGGTACAGTTAATGTGTTGGTGCCAGAACTTATAACAGGATACATGTTTAGTAAATTTACATCTATCGGTATGATCATTATGCACACAGTGTCAACATAAAACTTCTGACACAAAGTCAGGGATAAATTTATTTAAGAACAAATGATTTAACATCCGTAAGTAATTCTATGGCACATCAGTAGATATATATCATTAGATGGGCTTATTACTAGACATGGGCTTATTGTTGGATATTATTTATATATTATATTATTTAGTATTCAGTGTTTATACTTTGTATTAGATTATAAGTGATAATAGTTCATAAAATATTTTGTTCTTGAACTTGAAAATGCTGATTTGGAGAATCTAAATTGTACAAGATTTCACTGTTACTTAAGGTAAATCCAGGTGTAACATGTGTTCTGCTTTAGATGCTTTACATTATGGAGGATGACCAATACTTCAAAGTTACCTAGTTGTATAGACTTTTAAAGCCATACAATTCAAGCCTTCAATATGATCAAAAGTCTAGATATGTGGCAGGTGTTGCTCATGTCTATATATCTCATACAAAGGAATCTTTATCAAGTATCCTATAGAGACTTTTAAAATCATATTGAAGACTTGAATTATATTACTTTAAAGTCTATATAAAGAGATTATACTGAAGTATCAGTCCGTAGACAGCTTGATTACGAGTGTGAGTGTATTGTGTGTAATTTTTAACTTGGAAATATGGTGAAATGTCCCTGGTATTTCAGCTTTGTATCATGTAGAGTTTCATCAAAGAGTTGGACCAGAATGTCTGAGTTTTATTGATCATTGTATTAATTCAGTTTTATTTGAATGCTAATAATTTTCACTAACTCTTTACACTCATGAATTTATGAAAAAGTTCGGTAATTTATAAATCTTTTCAACAGCTCATGAAATTTGATTGATTACAGGAAAGACAACAATTTCTTGGTGTGGTTTGATTTCTTGTGGAATTAATTTTATTTTTACTTTCTGTTGTATTTAGATACATGTTAATATATATGTATATATAATACATTCATACTTTACATATTTGCAACAACATTTGCATGCATTTTAGTAACGTATTGAATCATTGTTTTAATAGCATGTGTATTTATTTTATCTCACAAAGTTGCATGTTTGTAGTGGCAGTGTATTATATACATATATCAGCCATATTTGATGTGATACAAGTACTGCAGTGATTATGATGAAGCATTCCATGACCTGCTTTCAAGGTCACACTGGTCAAATAAGTTAAAACCCTTAAAGGACTTCTTCTCAATAATCAAAAGGCCAAGGCTGCTGATATTGGGTCTATAGCATGATGGAATGAAGGGCTACCAACTTTATTAAAATGATTGCATTTGACCTTGACTTACTTCCCAAGGTCACATGATTTTACTATTTTCAACAAGCAGTATGTCCAGAGTAATCACATTTGTGTAATGCATGTATAAAGGATATATTTTCAAGTTTGCAGAAAATGTCTTTATGAACAAACCAATGTCTTTTATGTAAGATGTAGTGTAGTTGACCGATTTATTTCAGGCCTATTTGGCCTCTATTTATGCTAAATACAAAATAAATCTTTATGAATTTGTATCATTACAGGACTTTTAACCAGCACAAAGTGCTGGATTCTTGGGCTCCTGGCAGTAGTCACTGTCATCATCATTCACCTGTCAAACATCGGCAGCAAAACTGACCACAGTAGTGGAATATCTGTCATCGACACCTATGGCTCCACACATGGTATCATGTCAAAGTTCTTCTCTGGTGAAAGAAATTTTGAGAAGAAAAGCAGTCATGACATACCCCCTCTCAAAAGGGGTGAAATGGAATCCAAATTAACGAATACCTATACACGCAAAGAAAATGTGTTGATTGAAGAACAGCTCATGCCTAAAGTTAGTCAGAATATAACCAAAAAGGTTGGTTTTACTTTAGAAACAAAACGTGCCCCACCAAAACATTATATTACCATTCATTTCAAAGGAAGACTGGGAAATCTGCTTTTCCAGTATGCATCCTTATTCGGAATAGCTAATAAAAACAACCTGATCCCAGTGATTTCTGAAAATAGTGAGTTGCGGAGAATTTTCAAAATAACATCCCTGTCCACAGAGAGTAACAATGTGAGATATGGCCGAGTTTTCAAAGAGAAAATTGGATGTGCATTTGAACCAGAAGCAATGAAACTCGGATCAGAAACAAATACAAAGCTGGATGGTTACTTTCAAAGTTTCAAGTACTTTCAAGAGCATGATGCACTACTGCGTCAACAATTCCAATTTAAAGATGACATACAAAAAAGAGCAGCTTCTGTATTTTCTGAACTTGTTGACCAAAAATCTAAAAACAAAAATGGTCCTGTGACATATATTGCAGTCCATGTGCGCAGGGGTGATTTTATTCATAATAAAGGTTTTAGTAGGTATGGTTATGTGTCCCCAGGCCCCGAATATCTAGAAAAAGGATTGAACTTGTTTAGAGCTAATTTCACTAACTGCATATTTGTGATTGCCTCAGATGACTTAAACTGGTGTAAAGAAAACATGCACGGAAATGATTTGGTTTTCATGAACCCTGGTAACACCCGTGAACTTGACTTCGCAGTGATGACACAATGTAGTCATATGCTTATGACTGTCGGCAGCTTTGGCTGGTGGACAGCATGGCTGATCAACGGCAAAACTGTTTACTACACAGGCTATCCCCGTCCTGGATCTGAGCTTGCAAAACAGATTGTATTAGAGGACTATAGACCTCCTCATTGGATTGGTCTGTCGTAATGTATTAATCACCAAACTTTCTCTACACCTAGTATCACAGGGGTCAGACACATTGGCCTGTAGAAATTAGACACTGAAGAGCAGTTGTGTCAATCAATATACCAGTTTCTAGTCCCTGTGTTTACAGAAATCCAGTGTTTTTTTATGTGACAAAGTATCGCCATTTCTAAATTAGAATGACTTTATTGATCAGTACAGAAATAACTTTAATATCATGACGGTATCAGCCTCCTGGGTTTACTGCAGATAAATAAAGAAGAGATGTGAGTTTTCAGTTATGCCTCAACTGAACTTTGTTAAATCTAGTCCTGGATTATTGTAGGACAAATATGGTAGTATGATTAACTGCATGAAACAAGAACTGAACCAATTTTAATGAAATTTTGCAGAAACCTTTCCTGGCATGATATGAACCAAAGTAGTGAATTATACAGTCCCCACCCCACAGGGACCCGAGGAGTCTGAAGGGTGGGGACAAAAAGGGTCAAATTAACCCAAATTTCAAAAATCTTCTCAACTCCCAGATATTTTTTAAAAACTACTTGCCAAAATATTGTATAAAATTATCTGTACATGCATGTTCATATAATGTATATTTTCTATTGCAGTATACATGTCAACATGTAATGATATATTTATGAATCAATGCTATCAACATTTATATCTGCAAGTTTACACTGGGTTGAAAACTAAATTCTTCCACTAAAATTCCATTCCAGACTGCTGATAGACATTCCAGATTTTTAACTTTTTAAAAATATATTTATATTTCAATTTCATTTTTTTGTGAATATTTGCAATTTAAGGAGGTCTGAAAATTGAAGGGAAAAAAAGTGTTTGGTGTGTCACAGATAGGAGATAAAGAACACATATTTTAATATATTAATCAGTATTTAAAATTGTATGGGTATACCATAAAGTAGAACTGTTGTCCATGATGTAAGTTTACAATAATTTTGAAATATTCCAAACTATATTTATTAGTTTGTATACAGGTTACAGTCAGAATTAAGATTGAAGAAATTTCTAGAGCAGCAACTACCAATATTTGCTATTTTGAAATTTTATTTTGCGTAAGATTTTTTTCTTTAAAATATTTGTTACATATTACATTAATTTCGTATTGTAAAAATTAGTGTTAAGTTAATGATCAAAGGAAATTCTTATAATTGAAATGTAAGGCTTGCTTTGTAGGAGATATTTTTGATAGAAAAATATAATTGAAATGTAAGGCTTGCTTTGTAGGAGATATTTTTGATAGAAAAATATAATTGAAATGTAAGGCTTGCTTTGTGGGAGATATTTTATATAGTGATGGTGACTGCAGAAATTACAAGTGGGGAAATTGGCTGAAGGGAATCTCATGTTACTATGTATTGAATTGTATTTCTACAAGTTTACAGTGAGGATAATTATGTCTGTTTTTTTATACCTGATATGTAGTATAGTTTCTAAGATATTCATAAGCATTCTTTGTCTAATTATCTTTCCCTTTTATCCATGTTTAAGATGGAGACTGAAAGATGGGTTCATATATATTTTCAAATCATCCAACGTGACGGCTTGAAACTTGATGTTTGATCAATACATTCCAACATTTAACTTATAGAAGCCTATTTTTTCTGCAGTTTGGTTGTATCATCAGTCAAAACACTATTCCTCTTGCTCTGGTTGTGATGTGATGGGCCTCCCTTATTTTGTTCTGTGAAGTTGCCACCAGATTATTTAATTTATGTAAACCCTGCCTCAGAATGACTTTGGCAGTTCATGTGATGATCATAACCCCAGCAAAATTATTTCTATAACATTGTTTTTAAAAGATTGTCTGATCCCCACCTCTACTCCCTAAATATACTGAACTAAAAACCTTGAGTTAAATTTGACATGTTTACACAGACAATCATTCATTATGTGATTTAAGTCAACTTTGACGCTGAGTTATTAATATTATTATTATTATTACATTCTTAACAGGCCGTCATCCATAAAAAGTAAAAGGCCATCAACTGGTGAAAGACACAGCGATCTTTCAAACATCAAACAAAATTTAAAGGTAAAAGACAAAGGTTAAAAATCTCACATAGTTATATCTTACAAAAAATCAAGATGATAAATTATACCCTATAATACAGACCAATATCTTTCAGATAACCTAGAATTTTATAAATCTGAACAGTTTCATAAAGGGTCTTTAGACTTATAACATTATGATAAAAAAATTCTGGAGTAGACAGAAGGTCAATGTTGTCAAATAGAAGATATATAACAGTGAATGGCTTATCACATTTTATACACCTTTTTTCACTCTAGTGACCATTTCTAGACTAACTCCTGGGAGATTAAAAACTTGCAACAGTCCCAACAAAGTTAAGTTCCTAGATCCTTTGACATGAAGGAAAAAGTCTACTATTTTTGTTTTGTTTGTGTGTTTTTTGTTTGTTTTTATTTTCTTTTGAAAATTTTCAGAATTGAAATTTTAAATGCCAATAATAGTTTATGTACATGTGTGGATATGAGTGAGGTTGAAATGATCTCTTTTTTTTCTTGTTATTTTGTACAAGGGTAAGACTAAAAAGTAATTGTTCACTTTGTTCACATCTGATTTTACCTGGTAATATTCATATTTTAAATGCCTTGTTGTTTTTGTTTACAATATTATCATGTGTTCCAATTCTGTTTGCTGCAAATTAATGAAGAAAGATTTACAAAAGGTATATGATTACAAATCACAATTTGAAAGTATTTTGTCATACATCATTATTACATTGTCAAACATCATTAATACATTGTCATACATCATTAAAACATGGTATTAATATCATCAGTTGTGAAAGCATATAAAAAGGTTCAGTATTAAAATTAAATATCATTTTTATAATACTTCATGACCATGTACCTGGTACATGACAAATAGATACATATTCCAGAATTCTTTTCTTTTATTGTGTTAGTTCATATCGTACAGAAAAGGATTTCCTTGGTATCTGATTAAATTGTGATGATTTTATTATGAACAGTATAAAATTCCTGCTCGGAAAAGTCTTGATAAAAGTTTGATTCATTCAGTACAACATAGAATTAGAAATATGTAAAAAAAAAAGTATGTTTTCAGGGAAAATTCAAAGAAATCCATTACTTATTAAGTTCAGAAATCATTTACATGAAAAGTGTTCGTTTGTTTTCGTGGAGTGGTTTTTGTTTGATGGAAAATTGTTTTTATACACAGTTGCCCAGTGAATTTTGATGAACGTATGGCAGACTGCTGATTAAATGTCTGTTTGCCTTGGTGATGTGATATATATAAAATGGAATGGTCTTCTTGTGATATTCTACTTATACTGTAAAAAGACAATGACTGAAATCTTTTTTTTTTCTAAAAAGATACACTTTTACAATTTGCTCAAAAGTTACATTGCAGAGCCACATTTTCTTAATGTGTTTTGGGGGAAAAAAAAGATTTATAAGAGATAGAATTTTTTAAAATTTGAAAATCAGTAAATATTTTATGCCTGGTAATGTCATACATTCTATTGTATTATTATAATGAAAAGAATAAACAGACATCTCGAAAGTATATTATATTATATATGACAAGTATATAATTGTTTTAGCCTGGTTTAGACAAGTGTACAATATACTCCTCCATTTATATATAAAGTCTGCTTATCTATCTTACATGCTTACAGGCGTTCAATTAAATCCACTGTGCTGTATGTATAACAGTATTTTGTTGTTTTTTTGGGTTCTCTTCGTATTCCTTTTGATCAGGAAAGTATTTTTCATTAATAATTGCATTATCATTTCGATGTAATGAATTATGTATGGCAATCATTTTGTATTCAATGCATCTTTTACTGTAAGAGTTATCGCCCTTTTATCACTACGCCGCTTAACTCAGCTGATCAACGTTTGCATTCAATGCATTAATTCGATGTATTTTTCAATGGTATGGAATAAAGTTTGATAATTTATTCTCAAGAGGGTTTTGTGTATTTAGTTTAAGATATTCTGGTTTATAAAATGCAGGAATTTCAGAGATTTATTATTAGTTTGATGTCAAGAGTTTTAATAAAACAAGAACATCAGAAAGGTGTCAAGGGCTTGATAACACAAGAACATCAGTAAGATGTCAAGAGTTTTAATAAAACAAGAAAATCGGTAAGATGTCCTGAAGCTTGAAGAGGAATAACTCCGTTGGTATTAATCACCATATTTCAATTCAGAATCCTATTTCTGGTTATTTTGGGGTGGATTTCTCCCATGAAGTTGGTGACTGATGGAGGCTAAGGGTAGTGTCATACAATACCTTCCTATAATAATCTTATCTCTAATGAGAAATGTGTTCCCCACATCTGATAGTTCTTGTTCTCTATACACAGAGAAAGTAATAATAAATTCAATTGTAACAAGAAATATGGACAAAAACTGTAATTTAATGACATCATTTAATAAAGTTGATTTAAAATAAACAATTCTATTATTACAAATCTGGTTGGAAAGAATACAATTCAATAATAAAAGGTATGGTAGTTTCACTCACACACATATCTCAGTATCTAATTTACCATGTTCAATATTTAGTGTTGGGCTACATCAAGTTCACATGAGTGTGTGGCTGTCCTCTCTGTCAGTGAAATAACATCTTGTACTTAACAAAATATGGAGTTCCGACCCCAAGAAGCTATAACTTCAAACATATTGTTTATTGAAAACGCATTTACTTTAAAGAAATTTTATTCTAGATCCAGTCTATTATTGTGTTGTGTATTTCACTCATTCAGCATCCCGATATATCGAGTTAGCATGAAGACATGGCTGCTCTTCTGTAATTGAAATACAATTGTAATCTGGTGTTCCCGCCACCGTAATGACCAGAATTCAGATATTACGTCTTGTTGTGTCTAAAAGTTAAAGTTTCGATATTAGTATCCTATGGTCGTCCGACTCCAGGACCTGGCAAACAGACCCGCATGGTTTTGTCAATGCCTCTGAAGTTTGTTTATAGCTTTGCAAATTCCTCTGCTGCTTTGCTGACATCGGGGGGTGGTCCCTTCGTTTCCAATTTTACCTAGAAATATACGAACAAGTCAGGATAACAATGAAAATTATAAAATAAACTAGAAAATGTCTGTAAGACAATACATGCCCCCGCTGCCAAGGGCTTGATCTGGACCCCCGAAACATAACAATGTCTTAGCATTAAGTTTGACTAACTTCTAAAAAAACCAATGAAGTTTCTACGTGTTTAAATGGAATCAGTTGATGATTGTCTAGTTATAACAAGGGTAACCTTAGCCGTGACCTTTGGCCCCTGAACTACAACGATGTCCAAAATACACTTAAACTTGATCGTTCCGTAAATTTTGACCGAATTCCATGAAAGAATAAAGTTGCTAAGTGTTTAAAGAGAATCGGTTGATAATTGTCTCTATACAACAAGGGTGACCTTGGATCCCCGAAACACTTCGCTATTATATCTGCAACCCCCAATATTACGGCAAGGGCATAAAAATGTAAATATATCAAAACTAATGAAAGTCTTGTTTCCTCAGCTTCGACGCTGACTCTTCGCCTCATGGCTATTGAGAAGAAGACTTCTAAGGAAGAGGTCGACAACATGTGTCGCACCGTAGCATAACCTCACGTGGCCCTTCAGGCAAGGTGAGCTAAAACGTTGGAATATTTAACTCGATGATGAACGACTATAAAACAAGTCTTATGGAAAGATCTAAATTACGTTTCTCGACTGATATAATGTTGTCTGCAGTATTTCATAACCGTCAAACAGTGACCACGTGCAGTAAAGACGTATGATAACGTAACGTCGATTAAACACGTGATAACATGGTATTAACATACAAAGATATGTATTTCTTCAACCTAGGAGTTTACAACAGAATCTCGTATAGTTTAAACTTCCTCACACACTACCACTGACAATAGGTGACATGTTATGTATGACACGCTATAGATGGCCCAGCCGAGGCTGCCACAATGCCTCATTAAATCAAAACGTATATTGAAAAAAGCAGGCGACATATCTTGTCAAATAGGCAAAAAAACCAGATTGGCGTTGTTAACACTCACACGGATTCGTGGAGATGTATCTTTTTCAGTTATCTGAGACGTAAAGAACCAGATGTGAATATGAACTATGGGACTCTACCTATACATTTCTATCGCTATTTTCAAACTGTTTTTTTTTCTTCTACTAAATGTTAAAGCTTGTCAAATATTTCATACACATATATAATACACCACAATATTACTCATTATACCCAGAGTCATTTTCAAAACTTAGTTTCCAGTATCCTGTTTGACAAGTATAAATCATGTTATACTAATTCAGATTGTGTTACTAACGTTACATTTACGCATTCATATAAATGTATGCAAATAAGGGAGTTACAATTTTAGTGTTTTGTCTTTAAACTTGCGAGCATTACAAAATGTACCTAGTAGCTATATCGCGTCTGGTGCCCTTCGCCTAAAACATTAAAGTCAAATGTGATGAAATCTGTTTTACACCTGACCTAATGCATTAGATTTTAGGCAAATTTCTTTCTTGTCATCGCAGGTGTGAATGTATACAGTTTCATCCCAGTGGTAAGGCTATCTTTCATGAAAAGCGACTGTTCATGCAGGCTTGTTTCCCGAATTTTAAAAACAAAACGTTATACACCTATTGTGTTACACAATGATGAATGAAATCGCAAGGGAAAAAAGTGTTCAAAAGAAATGATTATGGTAAGAACGAAATCTTTCGACCACAAAAGTTAACGTGATCCTCTCCTCAACTACAGTTAACTTAGAGCTGTATAAGTATTGATATGTCGTGCAAACATGCTATATGATGTACTAGAAAACACTGCAGTGTGTTTTCGGGGTCGCAGGGAATACCTTATATTCCGTTACATTAAATGTTGACTATATTCTTTATTATTACAATGTCTGGGTAAATACAAAATATCATTGCGTGTAAATTCAACACATTACATATTTAACACGTCTGTGTTATCGTTTATTATAAAGACTAGAGTCTCACGTATATCAAATATCGCATTTTTCCAGACATTACATATTATATACATCTCCTGAGGCATGGAGAGGTCTCAGACACTACTAATTAAGTGTTGAGGTAACAATAACTTTACGTGAAAGAGTGTAAACAATGGCGTGAATATAGAGAAATTACCAACATATAAAGATAATCTTAATTTATACTCAATCCGATCAAAAAAAAGATTTATGAAATAAACGACCAGGTATTCAACAAGGGTAAGCGTCTCTTGCTTAACTCGCACTTCAAATCTAGAACTAATTGTTATACCTGACCTCTGACATTTAATTAGGTAGTGTATGATACATAAGGACTGTATTAAAACAGAAATTCTAAATATTGTATACAGAAAAAAGGCCTCGTTTACCTTCTTGGATGGCGTTGTAACTTTTGATGAAGCTAACGTTTCCTTGAGTCTATCGAACTTTTTATTGGCTTCCTCTGTCTTCGACTTTGTTTGTACATTTAACTGAAAGAAAAATATTGCACCAGAATTACACTTTAGTCAACACATTGTTGAAATAACTACATATATGTATACTCAAAACATGTTGATGATGTATGGTAAAATGTCTCTTTCGGGTTAGCAAGAGCGAAAAAGAAACGACTAGAGATTTGTTTCTTGTGAACAAAAATATATTTCTCCCCTCCTCCCTTAACATACTTTGAATATTTCTGCACTTAATTGACCTTTAACTTGAAAATTAAGATTGAAGTGACCTAATTATAGTACACAGCGTAACGTCAGAGTGCGGGTGATGTATATATGTCTTCATAATTGTTCAGAACAAAATCATTGCCAGGATAAGAACTCATTGAAAAAAATGCGCTTATTTGACATTTTCCCTTGAGGTCATAGTAGCAATGATCATATGACAAAGAAAAGCATTTCATCAGTTGGTGATAAAGGTATACAGCTTTCATTAAGATATCTTTTACGGTTTAAAAGTTATCACCCGGACAATAACTTACTGGAAAATTTCGCGCTTATTTGACCTTTGACCTTGAGGTATGGGCCAAAGTGACCTAAAGGCAGTGCACTTCACAACAGCTTCACGTGATGTAAGTGTACTGTAAGTTTCGATGGTTAAAGTTATGACCCAGGCAAGACATAATTAGAAGAACCAGTGCTAGAAGGACCGGTACGAAGACAACATGTGTCCTTTATTCGATGTTGAGAAATGATAAACTGAGTCGGTACCAGTAAATTAAGTTCAGATATGAAATATCCCGTTACCAGCGTTTTCTGATCTATTGAGTCACTTTCAAAGAATATGGATCCACGCAAGATATTAGATCCGGACATATGTGTTTGTATCTGTTTGTTGAAAGACAAACTTGCAACTAAGAAATTGTCATGAAGAGATTTAAATCAAAGTCACCATTGTTATCCAGTCGGTAAATATTAATTTTGAAGGCTGACCTTGACCTTCTTGTTTGTTGTTACTATCTTTAGTCGCATTTTGGGGGCATGATATGGCATAGATTTTTTGTAGATTTACAAGGAGAAATTAAGACAGGTTTATAATCATGAGGTGTCCTCTTGTTGTTATCAACCATCGAATATCTATAAGAACTTAAATACATACACAGACAATTTCGTGAAATCTTTGGGAGACTAGACGTATCCAATAATATAGGTAGATTATGCAACAGGTTTTCGATTTAATAAAAATGTCACATCATTGTGAATCGTTAAATCCAGATTCGAATAACCATGGCAAAAGTTGCGACAAGATCTCAATCTTACAATGAATAAGTTGTTTGATAAAAGATAATGACAATACTCTATCAGGGAGAACACATCAATAAATGCTTTAACTTTCTATCACTGAATTCAAATTGTACGAGATAAAAAGACGAAGAAAAGGTGCAGGATGCAAGTGGAGTCATAATTAATAACGTCTTAATTATCCTAGATATAATTTCGGCCATATAATTTAAATATTTTTGCTATATTACATGTCTTTATCATAAAAGAAAATACTTATGAATGATTTTCTACATTTAAATTGTAAAAATGAAAAAAAACTGAAAACAATTTGACTCCGAATTCATTTGATAAAAAATTAAAATACGCGATAGAAAAAAAGTATAAAAATCACAAGTCGTGACAATTTTACACCTTGATAATATGATAATTTCATTATACTATTATCAATACTTCTGAGCAAAATCTGAATGAGAGCAATTATGTTTTCATCATGCCGCTTGAACGGGCATGCAGCGCATGCAGACACTGTAGTTTCTTGTTTCATCTAGTAATATGTATTTATATATAAGATAGATATCAGACTCAGCGGAGACTTTCATTCACATCACGAGTCTATACATCAGCAACACAAACCAGATAAGAAAGACCTTACACACTGAGATAGAGCCTGATACGGACATCAAAGGCTGGACCCAAAACACAGGTAAAAACACAGGTAATAGCATAGCCAGACATGCTAATTAGCCGAACAAGACAAGCATAACACGGAAATACGACAGACAGGCATCAATAACGGTCCAACGGAACACAAAATTGACCGGGCGATAGAAGCAGAAAGTTTTGTTGACAAACGTTATCTATTTCTTATCTGTTTCAATTGTTTGAGCGACTGAGGTTTTAAACCCAAGCAAAAGCGAAGGTCATATTGAGGTCATAGATGATGGCCCGACAGAAGGGTCACTTCAAAGTTTCTGACATAGTTTTCTTGCAACAGCTTAAGACCTTGTACACACGAAGTCTTTTTTTTTCTTAGTCATATTTCAAGCCGGGACATCGTAGGAAAACAAAATAACGACACACACGTTACGCATTCTTGAAATAAAAGACTTGAAAGTTACTCATTATATAATACGCCACTATACCTATGTGATCCTAAAATCACTTCCCCTTTCTCCCTAATCCCAAAATATTTCTCCCTACCCCCAGGATATGTGCGACCAATGGAATGAATTCCTTTATACGCTTTATATGTCTTACTAACTGCTATATTCGATCGCATTAAGTGGTGTAGTTACATTAAAACTTCGATGAGTCGAACTTCGATGATTCGAATTTCTCGATGTTTCGAATTTTTTGCCCCTATATAATGCTACTAATTTCACATTTATGACTCGAACTTTTTTACTGTATATTATAAAGTTTTGATCTTCGTTGAATCATAAACTGTTCTGATTGTTTTTTTCCGCTGGACTAAATTTTCGCGTTGCAGTATATTTGAAAATTTCTCAGGATCGAATTTTAGCATTATCGATAGAAATATGAAGTAATACAAAATTAGCTATATGATTCCATATTGTCTGGGGAAGTCATAACTCAAAGAGATAATTCTGTTTCTATGGTAACATTTGCAGGTTTTAATTAAACTATAAAAAATTCAATGTCGTTACCTCACTTGGATGGCCCTAAGGATCAGTACGTATAAGCACATACAATCTGTTAATGTGGTAAATATCTTATCTACATTGGACCGAACTTTCAGTGGTACTATGTTTTGAGGTTGAAATACAACTGCTAAAATTAGAAACAAATATACTTAATAAGAAATTGAGATCTACAACATTACATCATTCTATGTAGTAAAGAGATCAGTCTGATCAGGTAGAGGTAAGAGATCGGTCTGATCAGGTAGAGGTAAGAGATCAGTCTGATCAGGTAGAGGTAAGAGATCGGCCTGATCAGGTAGAGGTAAGAGATCTGTCTGATCAGGTAGAGGTAAGGGATCTGTCTGATCAGGTAGAGGTAAGAGATCAGTCTGATCATGTGGAGGTAAGAGATCAGTCTGATCAGGTAGAGGTAAGAGATCGGTCTGATCAGGTAGAGGTAAGAGATCGGTCTGATCAGGTAGAGGTAAGGGATCTGTCTGATCAGGTAGAGGTAAGAGATCAGTCTGATCAGGTAGAGGTAAGAGATCAGTCTGATCAGGTAGAGGTAAGAGATCTGTCTGATCAGGTAGAGGTAAGAGATCTGTCTGATCAGGTAGAGGTAAGAGATCAGTCTGATCAGGTAGAGGTAAGAGATCAGTCTGATCAGGTAGAGGTAAGAGATCAGTCTGATCAGGTAGAGGTAAGAGATCAGTCTGATCAGGTAGAGGTAAGAGATCGGTCTGATCAGGTAGAGGTAAGAGATCGGTCTGATCAGGTAGAGGTAAGAGATCTGTCTGATCAGGTAGAGGTAAGAGATCTGTCTGATCAGGTAGAGGTAAGAGATCAGTCTGATCAGGTAGAGGTAAGAGATCAGAGGTAGAGGTAAGAGATCAGTCTGATCAGGTAGAGGTAAGAGATCTGTCTGATCAGGTAGAGGTAAGAGATCGGTCTGATCAGGTAGAGGTAAGAGATCTGTCTGATCAGGTAGAGGTAAGGGATCTGTCTGATCAGGTAGAGGTAAGAGATCAGTCTGATCAGGTAGAGGTAAGAGATCGGTCTGATCAGGTAGAGGTAAGAGATCAGTCTGATCAGGTAGAGGTAAGAGATCGGTCTGATCAGGTAGAGGTAAGAGATCTGTCTGATCAGGTAGAGGTAAGAGATCTGTCTGATCAGGTAGAGGTAAGAGATCAGTCTGATCAGGTAGAGGTAAGAGATCGGTCTGATCAGGTAGAGGTAAGAGATCGGTCTGATCAGGTAGAAGTAAGAGATCGGTCTGATCAGGTAGAGGAACGAGATCGGTTTGATCAGGTAGAGGTAAGAGATCAGTCTGATCAGGTAGAGGTAAGAGATCAGTCTGATCAGGTAGAGGTAAGAGATCAGTCTGATCAGGTAGAGGTAAGAGATCAGTCTGGTCAGGTAGAGGTAAGAGATCAGTCTGATCAGGTAGAGGTAAGAGATCGGTCTGATCAGGTAGAGGTAAGAGATCTGTCTGATCAGGTAGAGGTAAGAGATCTGTCTGATCAGGTAGAGGTAAGAGATCGGTCTGATCAGGTAGAGGTAAGAGATCTGTCTGATCAGGTAGAGGTAAGAGATCGGTCTGATCAGGTAGAGGTAAGAGATCGGTCTGATCAGGTAGAGGTATGAGATCGGTCTGATCAGGTAGAGGTAAGAAATCGGTCTGATCAGGTAGAGGTAAGAGATCGGTCTGATCAGGTAGAGGTAAGAGATCGGTCTGATCAGGTAGAGGTAAGAGATCGGTCTGATCAGGTAGAGGTAAGAGATCTGTCTGATCAGGTAGAGGTAAGAGATCAGTCTGATCAGGTAGAGGTAAGAGATCGGTCTGATCAGGTAGAGGTAAGAGATCGGTCTGATCAGGTAGAGGTAAGAGATCGGTCTGATCAGGTAGAGGTAAGAGATCGGTCTGATCAGGTAGAGGTAAGAGATCGGTCTGATCAGGTAGAGGTAAGAGATCTGTCTGATCAGGTAGAGGTAAGAGATCTGTCTGATCAGGTAGAGGTAAGAGATCTGTCTGATCAGGTAGAGGTAAGAGATCTGTCTGATCAGGTAGAGGTAAGAGATCAGTCTGATCAGGTAGAGGTAAGAGATCTGTCTGATCAGGTAGAGGTAAGAGATCGGTCTGATCAGGTAGAGGAACGAGATCGGTCTGATCAGGTAGAGGTAAGAGATCGGTCTGATCAGGTAGAGGTAAGAGATCGGTCTGATCAGGTAGAGGTAAGAGATCGGTCTGATCAGGTAGAGGTAAGAGATCGGTCTGATCAGGTAGAGGTAAGGGATCTGTCTGATCAGGTAGAGGTAAGAGATCGGTCTGATCAGGTAGAGGTAAGAGATCGGTCTGATCAGGTAGAGGTAAGAGATCGGTCTGATCAGGTAGAGGTAAGGAATCTGTCTGATCAGGAAGAGGTAAGAGATCAGTCTGATCAGGTAGAGGTAAGAGATCGGCCTGATCAGGTAGAGGTAAGAGATCTGTCTGATCAGGTAGAGGTAAGGGATCTGTCTGATCAGGTAGAGGTAAGAGATCGGTCTGATCAGGTAGAGGTAAGACATCTGTCTGATCAGGTAGAGGTAAGAGATCAGTCTGATCAGGTAGAGGAACGAGATCGGTCTGATCAGGTAGAGGTAAGAGATCAGTCTGATCAGGTAGAGGTAAGAGATCGGTCTGATCAGGTAGAGGTAAGAGATCTGTCTGATCAGGTAAAGGTAAAGGATCTGTCTGATCAGGTAGAGGTAAGGGATCTGTCTGATCAGGTAGAGGTAAAAGATCTGTCTGATCAGGTAGAGGTAAGAGATCTGTCTGATCAGTTAGAGGTAAGAGATCGGTCTGATCAGGCAGAGGTAAGAGATCAGTCTGATCAGGTAGAGGTAAGGGATCTGTCTGATCAGGTAGAGGTAAGAGATCTGTCTGATCAGGTAGAGGTAAGAGATCAGTCTGATCAGGTAGAGGTAAGAGATCGGTCTGATCAGGTAGAGGTAAGAGATCGGTCTGATCAGGTAGAGGTAAGAGATCGGTCTGATCAGGTAGAGGTAAGAGATCAGTCTGATCAGGTAGAGGTAAGAGATCTGTCTGATCAGGTAGAGGTAAGAGATCGGTCTGATCAGGTAGAGGTAAGAGATCAGTCTGATCAGGTAGAGGTAAGAGATCAGTCTGATCAGGTAGAGGTAAGAGATCAGTCTGATCAGGTAGAGGTAAGAGATCAGTCTCATCAGGTAGAGGTAAGAGATCGGTCTGATCAGGTAGAGGTAAGAGATCTGTCTGATCAGGTAGAGGTAAGAGATCAGAGGTAGAGGTAAGAGATCTGTCTGATCAGGTAGAGGTAAGAGATCAGTCTGATCAGGTAGAGGTAAGAGATCGGTCTGATCAGGTAGAGGTAAGAGATCTGTCTGATCAGGTAGAGGTAAGAGATCTGTCTGATCAGGTAGAGGTAAGAGATCAGTCTGATCAGGTAGAGGTAAGAGATCTGTCTGATCAGGTAGAGGTAAGAGATCGGTCTGATCAGGTAGAGGAACGAGATCGGTTTGATCAGGTAGAGGTAAGAGATCGGTCTGATCAGGTAGAGGTAAGAGATCGGTCTGATCAGGTAGAGGTAAGAGATCAGAGGTAGAGGTAAGAGATCGGTCTGATCAGGTAGAGGTAAGAGATCTGTCTGATCAGGTAGAGGTAAGAGATCTGTCTGGTCAGGTAGAGGTAAGAGATCAGTCTGATCAGGTAGAGGTAAGAGATCTGTCTGATCAGGTAGAGGTAAGAGATCTGTCTGATCGGGTGGAGGTAAGAAATCAGTCTGATCAGGTAGAGGTAAGACATCTGTCTGATCAGGTAGAGGTAAGAGATCTGTCTGATCAGGTAGAGGTAAGAGATCAGTCTGATCAGGTAGAGGTAAGAGATCAGTCTGATCAGGTAGAGGTAAGAGATCAGTCTGATCAGGTAGAGGTAAGGGATCTGTCTGATCAGGTAGAGGTAAGAGATCGGTCTGATCAGGTAGAGGTAAGAGATCAGTCTGATCAGGTAGAGGTAAGAGATCTGTCTGATCAGGTAGAGGTAAGAGATCTGTCTGATCAGGTAGAGGTAAGAGATCTGTCTGATCAGGTAGAGGTAAGAGATCTGTCTGATCAGGTAGAGGTAAGAGATCTGTCTGATCAGGTAGAGGTAAGAGATCTGTCTGATCTGGTAGAGGTAAGAGATCTGTCTGATCAGGTAGAGGTAAGGGATCGGTCTGATCAGGTAGAGGAACGAGATCGGTCTGATCAGGTAGAGGTAAGAGATCAGTCTGATTAGGTAGAGGTAAGAGATCGGCCTGATCAGATAGAGGTAAGAGATCTGTCTGATCAGGTAGAGGTAAGAGATCTGTCTATTCAGGTTAAGGTACGAGATCGGTCTGATCAGGTAGAGGTAAGAGATCTGTCTGATCAGGTAGAGGTAAGAGATCGGTCTGATCAGGTAGAGGTAAGAGACAAGTCTGACCAGGACTTACCTTTTTAAGACTAGTGTTAACCATCTTTGTTTTAGTCTTTCTCACACCTGCCACCTTAAACACAGCTGTTTCTTTTTTGGTCTTGCTCTTGGACTGACCGACGATCGACTGTCCAGCCTGTTTTTGTGCCTTAGTGCGCCCCTGTTTACCCATATGGATGGTTATCGTTTCACGTTCTGAACAAGAAGGCGTTATTTATCACACAATCCAAAGATTTACGTTCTGGCGTCAATCTTGTTGCCTTGGCAATGACATTAGGCAGGCTTTTTCCTACAAAGATGAAATAACACAAGTTAAAATCTTGCGAAGGTCGATACCAATCCTGAGTCGGTTATTTTCGGCTCACCATTTTCTCAATTTCCAGGCAGCTTTTACTTCCGTTTTACTCATTATTCTATATATATTGTAACACTTCCGATTTACTCGTTATTCTATATACATTGTAGCACTTCCGTTTTACTCATTATTCTATATATATTGTAACACTTCCGTTTTACTCATTATTCTATATATATTGTAACACTTCCGATTTACTCGTTATTCTATATATATTGTAGCACTTCCGTTTTACTCGTTATTCTATATACATTGTAGCACTTCCGTTTTACTCATTATTCTATATATATTGTAACACTTCCGTTTTACTCGTTATTCTATATATATTGTAACACTTCCGATTTACTCGTTATTCTATATATATTGTAACACTTCCGTTTTACTCGTTATTCTATATACATTTTAGCACTTCCGTTTTACTCGTTATTCTATATACATTGAAGCACTTCCGTTTTACTCGTTATTCTATATACATTTTAGCACTTCCGTTTTACGTTCCGTTTTACTCGTTTATTCTATGTACATTGTAGCACTTCCGTTTTACTCGTTATTCTATATACATTGTAGCACTTCCGTTTTACTCGTTATTCTATATATATTGTAGCAATTCTGTTTTACTCGTTATTCTATGTACATTGTAGCACTTCCGTTTTACTCGTTATTCTATATACATTTTAGCACTTCCGTTTTACTCGTTATTCTATATACATTGAAGCACTTCCGTTTTACTCGTTATTCTATATATATTGTAGCACTTCCGTTTTACTCGTTATTCTATATACATTGAAGCACTTCCGTTTTACTCGTTATTCTATATATATTGTAAGCACTTCCGTTTTACTCGTTATTCTATATACATTGTAGCACTTCCGTTTTACTCGTTATTCTATATACATTGTAGCACTTCCGTTTTACTCATTATTCTATATATATTGTAGCACTTCCGTTTTACTCGTTATTCTATATACATTGAAGCACTTCCGTTTTACTCGTTATTCTATATACATTGTAGCACTTCCGTTTTACTCGTTATCCTACATTGTTGTATGGTGTTACTTCCTATACTTATCTTAACCGCTTTTGAAAATATAGGTTAATTTTAGAAATTTCGAGACGATTTCATTTCGCGTTGAACTAGATTCCGATCCCAGAACTCTCCGTTTCCAACTCAAAATCTCGCGGCTATGATGTTTGAATAATGGATATTGACGCGAAGGACGCGAAGGACGCGCATTGACGCAAAGTCTAACGGCACGTCATTATTTGGCGGTTTCCAATAAACTTTTACCGCCATAAATATGAAGAGGAATGAAAATGATCGTTTTTGTATGTAAGTCGCGCAGATGGATAATGTTTGTAGACGACACTATGTGTTGCTACATGTATTGTTTTATTCTGCATTTTTAAACACTACAATTAAATCCGTGTAAGTAGGTCCTTTCAAACCTATGTTTCAAATCTAACTTTTAATTGATTTGAACTGGAGTTACTCGAAGTTTCAAAGCTACAAGGGATAGAATATTGTGAATATACTTGGGTGACAATGTTATTGGTTTATGATGATGAAACCCTCATTAATTATCTAATTCAGGACTCAACATTATAAATATTAGAAACACTGATCGTTATATCTTCATTAGGCCATTCTTCTTGGTACAAAATAGCTATAGTTGGAATTCTTTCCGAAAACTTCAAACTTTGTGCAATTGGTCATAAAATTTTCGCCATGGATAATTATTTTTCGTATCCCAATGTAAACTAAAAACGATATTTCATAATTCTGCTTATATAGAAAATAATATCTTGTATCGTGTTCTTCGTTTCTGATTTTTAAAAATCAATTTATCTTACAGAAACAGGAATCTTTCGAATGTTGAATAGATGTGACGGTGTTGTAAAATCCTTGGTTGCCATTCTTTGAAGTAAGACTATGATACCTTTGTGTAAGCTAATGTTTAATAGATCAGCGTACTTAGTGACATTTTGTAACAAACAGAACCATTAAAAAGCCATTGGGTGCTTTGTGACCTTTGGGATCATTTGGTTTATGACCAACTTAATTGCGACAACAGAAATAAAACGACAGTTACACAGATTAAATAGCAACAATAGTCCTATAACAGGGATACAACAGGGACGTGACGCAATATTATAATGTTGATGTCTAGATTGTATGATAAATATTCCTTCATACAGTTCCATTAGAACTGCTTTTTTGCATCTACATATTTCCCAAGATACGCTCTTTCTCCTGGACACAGGAACATCACAGCTTTATGTCCGTGAATGTTATTTTGAGAACGACAAGCATAAAACATCATCATTCCAATAATCTCCAAAGTAATTGTTTTCAATATCTTATCGACAAAATGTACATTTTTAAAGGTCGAATACGAGCAGTTGGTGCGATAAATGTTGCCAGACAATCAAACGCTATCTCGAAACCTTTGCTGCTGCAAAACGTTTAAACGCCTCGTCATATGACCATGATGCAGGCTGATGAATATCATGGGGGTTTTACAGTTGTCATAAATAAGTAAAATTCTACCTGTTTTTGCGCGCGCGCGCGATAGGAAACTGGGCATGTTTGACGATGGTTAATTTGCTTGTTGGATCCGTTGATGTATACCTTGTTTTAATATGAAAACGGGATTTACTTGGATTGACCAAGGTTTACAGGACAGGTGTCGTCGATGAATCAGGTGACGCTTACTCTTTCGGAACACCTGTTCTCATTTGCATTGTCCCTTTTCAGGAGTCTCTTTTTCAAATTTTCTTTCTTTAATATGTTGTCCCTGTGGCGATCCTTTGACGAATTTTCATTTTAAAATACTGACCAGTCTGAAATCCAGACAATCGAAACATCAACAGTGTGTTGTTTAATCCTTGTTTACCTGACGTTAACATAAAACTGAATTACCCGGTGACGTTTGCTAAAATAATTTCTCCACGCCGAAAAGTACTTCAAAACTTCTACTGACATAACAGCAATTTGATGATTTTTTGTAAAGAAAATTGTTCTTTATAACATATGAAATCACTAAATTTAACAGTTATATATACATATACTTAAGTAAATTCATTGGAATAATGCCCGTGTAATAGTAAAGCTGTCTTCAGTCCCTGCCAAATACAGTAAAAATTTAGTCCGTCAGACAGAGCCAGTTGCAGGATAAACTCGGATAAACGGTGTACACAGAGACCTCGAGAAATGTTTTCACGGTGACAATCAAAACCTTCGCCGAAAGAAACAATGCTGTACTTCATATGAAATGGAAATAAAACCTTGAAACCTTGAAACCTTAAAAATGTACACGGTGTCAAATAAGTACAAACACATTCAAATGTTCAGATATCATCACCGATAGGAAAGTGAGGTTTTTAGTTACTTTGTAGAATTACAGAATCTGATTTTCCTGTCAAATAACACATCACCTTTAACAGACTTGAAACAGAATACATACTGTTACGTATATATGTATCCTCTCTAATATTAACTATTTGTGAGAAATTCCTATTAAATTAGAACAAGCCGAAACAATAAACACTACCACTACATACAGCGTATTACAGCTCTGTTATTCTTCAAAACAATTTATCAATTTGGAAGAAAAAAACTGATTTAATTCATTCTTGGAAAGTTAATTGCTTTTCTCTTTGATGTGATAAAAACTAAAAGTTTTAAAACCAATAGATAAGAGGATCGCTGAACACGATTTCAGTACGTAACAGTGTGACTTCCCAATACACGTGCAGTCGGTCTTCAGAATCTCAAAGTTTTCAAACGTTCCCGCCAAGTTTGAACTCGGCGGGAACGTTTGAAAACTTCGAGTAACTCAGTATTCGATCTAAGTTCATTCGATTGAAGTGAGTTCGAATGTTAAATGTGAAAATTATCCGGGACCGACGAAATACTTCGAATAAAATGAAGTCATCGATTTTTATACGCTTGAAATATCGAGATTCGACTGTAATAATAAGTGTTGAGATTGTAGATACAATATGAATATGGTTGTATTATAATAACTTTTATTCTATTCACATTATCAACCTGAAGAAATATTCCGAAATAAAAGATGAGGACATTTCTGCCCCAAACGAACTTAAGTATCAACATAAACAAACGTTATAAATGCATACTACAGAAGACGGTTCCTGGCTGTAGAATGCCAGTTTACCAGCCAGCCAGCCAGAGAGATCCCTACCTCCATAAAAAATCATCTGAGCCACGTGGTAATAAAAACCAAACCAATATCTTCAAATCTAACGGAAACATTACGAAAAACGTATATGCTCTGCTCTGAGATGTATTTAAATTTGTAAGTAGTTAATCGTTTGCAGTGTCATACAGGACAACTTCAGCATAATCGCCTATACAGTATACAGAGTATAGGGTATTTATAATCGTCAAAGGGCGTATTAGTTGTGGAGTGTCCATGTCGTTCACGATCCTCCTACTTATACTATCAATGGAAATGTAAAATAAATCATTAGGGAAGATGTTCACACATTCTCGTATCGTACATAAACCTGGCATATCTGAATAGCTGCAATTTGAAGGGTTTTATTCGAGAAGCGCTACGTTTCTGTGCCTTAGACTCGCGGATAAATGAAATATGCTGTATGGTTAAATCTGTGTTTTATTAGCAGTGTTTGACCTATTTACCATTATTTGACCGATCCCACATGCGTGAATATCCTTTCATGTCTTTTTATTAAAGTCAGGAAGACGACAGGGATATTCCATTCAGATATCTACGTTCTATCTCACATATTCTAGCCAAGTTTTCCGTCAATGAAATATCAGGTCTGTACCGACCTTTAAACCCAGAGTTGGTCGGGTGTTTACACGGCGTTTATTGAATGTAGTAATATATGTCCCAACACGTCATTCATGTTACTTTTAAATCATATCATGGTAAAATCAATTAAAT